TTACTTTTAGAAAGTCTTTCTCGCCAAAAAACTTTAATTACACACTAAATATGGTAATTTTAGAATCTATTTTAAATAAAAAAATATTAATTACATTATTATAGTTTCCTATTAAAATGAAATCCGGATTGTATTTAAATATTCCGTTACATATATTCCTTTATAGCATATTTGTTAGCAGATTTAATGGTGCATGTAATATTTTGTAAGCATATTTATAGCGATTTATTTTATAATACCATTTTGTTTACACTCAAATTATCTTAATTTATCATGATCCACTTTTTATGGTAGATGTTGGGTATTTTATCTTCATATCAACATATTTTAAAAAATCAGTGATATTGTCAAATCATTTTTGTTTTGATTCTTGGATTCTTTGTTGTTGCATAGGCTTTCAATTAATTTAAAATCAAACCTTTTCATAAAATCTCGGTTTTTATGAAAATGATTTTCTCGACTAATATTTTTTATATCTATCAAATTTTATAAGATTACATAATAAAAATAAAAATCGTTTTATCAAATCATTTTATAAAATCACGGTTTGTATGGAAATAATTTTGTTGAGTGTAATTTTTTCTATCTATCAAATTTTATAAATCACATTTTACAACTGGGCAATATATATTTTTTATTTTTATTTGCAAACAAACTTTAAATCATCAATGGTATTAGACATGTTATATTTACAATTTGAAATTTTATAGTTTTTTTTTAATAAAAATAAGTTATAAAAGTGCAATATAAACAATTACAACATTCTCAGTCTTTTCAATAAAAAAAGTAATAAACAGCGTGATAACAAAAAATCTCAATTTTGATGATACACAATTAGCATTCACGTGAAAAAAATATACAATATGAATAAAAATCACCATCAGCGTTCAATGGTATTAGACATGCTATATTCACAATTTAAAATTTTATAGTTTTTTTTAATATAAAAATAAGATATAAGTGCAATATAAATAACTACAACATTCTCAGTCTTTCCAATAAAAAACATAATAAATAGCGCGTGAAAATAATACACAATCTTGATGATACACAATTAGCATTCACGTGAAAAAAATACAATATGAATAAAAATCATCATTAGCGTTGAATGTATTTTATTTCCACATTATTTGTTGTTTAAAACGATTAGTATGCTTATAAGTATCACATCAACCCCACACACACAAAAAAAAAAAAAAATCACCATTGACGAACATACGAGTAATTAGTGAATCTATAGTAAGTGCCAAACAAAAAATAGATCAACCTTTCGGTCTTATCCAGGAAGTTGAAGGACCAAAGAGAGTTATGTTGCAACTTCGAGTGGTTCGCATGTTTGAGAGTAAATTTCCTAATTCTTATCATTACATCATAGAAATTATTTTTCATAATACTGAGGTATAATATTGCTTATTGTTTCTTTTATCTTTTCACTTCATTTCGTTATTTCTTTGTGGAGACTTCTGACAAATACTTCCAGTCATTTCAAAGGAGAATTGTTAGGATATTGTGAATGCAACTATTAATGCTTCCACCATTTCGAGAGATTGTACTGTGTTGTGACTTTCAAAAAACATGCGTCTTCAGAACATTTTTTTATCGGACGAGTATGACAAGGTAGCAACGTTTACTGATTGGATTGTTAGCATTGGAGATGGGCCTGTAGGATGATCAAACGATGGTTGTACCTACATTAACATTCTAGATGTTACAAGACTGTAACCCTTCGATGATCCAATTGCTACAATCGTGAAAAGTACCTATCCAATGTTCAAGAATACAACTGACAATTCAAGATATTTGAATGATAGTGCTCTATTAGCGCATACTTTGGAGGTCGTTGAATCTATAAATTAGTACATGTCGGAGATGAATTCTGATGAAGGTCGTATATATTTGTGCTCTGACATTATGTGGAAGTCCCACTCGAATAATGACTTTTTTGTTTTGGGCAAAATCTCCACACTTCCGAGTTCTTGAATAGCATCAAGTTTTCAGGAACACCGATCCATGAATTGCATTCGAAATGGAACTCCAATCATGTTATTAAGGAACGTGGACCATTCTATGGGACTGTGCAATGGAACACGCTTGGTTGTTACCAAGTTCTCTACTCATGTGCTTGAATGTAAGATATTAACTGCAGATCATGAAGGTGAGAATGTGTTGATTCCTCGAATGAATATGATACCTTCCGATGTTAGGGTTCCGTTTACGTTCCAGCTTAGGCAGTTTCCCCTTATGATTTTGTATGTCATGACCATAAACAAGGGTCAGGGTCGTATATTTTTTCATTTTGGCATGCTCTAAAAAAAATCGATATTTAGTCATGGCCAGTTATATATTATTGTTTTGTGCGTAACTAATATGAAGACGTTGAAAGTATTAGTTTGTGAGGACGATGAGTTGCCCGACAATCAAACTAATAATGTTGTGTATAAGGAGGTATCATGACAATTTTTTTATGATTACTTGACAAATGCTCTACGTATTATAACTTATTGATTAATAACCTTTAATTTACAACCTTTACCAAAATAAATATTGTCCGTGCATCGCACGGGTTACGTACTAGTTAAGCATGATATTTATTGACATAAATAATTGATAAATTAAGAAAGCAAATCAATAGCTAATTGAAAGAAGCAAATCAAAAGTCAGAGATATATTAGTCACTTAGTGTCACACTATGTAAGATTACAAAGAATTAAAAGGTTATATTAGACTATTAGTACAAGTGTTATTAAATTACCTAATTTAGCTTAATAATATTTATGGAATGTCTGAACCTAAATTATTAATTTTATTAATTATTAACATATCGATATTATTTGTCCAAACCTAGTTACGAAGCATGATTCCTCGCCAAGAAGGATTTTGAAGCACCAGAAACAACCACGTAGGCTCAACGCATTCGAGAATTATATATAGATTATAGGGGGAATATTGATAATATTGGAGATAGTAGAGTTGGGTTAAAATTGAGTTAAATTTTAGTTTTGATTAGTTATTTTACTGTTCAGACTATATTCAATCTCTCCCAGTGAACTTGTATGCAAGCAATATTGAAATTTCTCTTATCACCTAGCTCGTCTTGTTTCTCGCCAGGTAAAGCTCCTTGAGGGAAGAACATGATGGCAGGCCTGATAAAGAAAAACGAGTCAGAAACGCATAAAATGTCAAAGGATTATTTTAACTAGAAAAGTTGGAGATTTAGTCCTCAAACTGACACAAAATTAAAAAATAGTCTGGTGGTTGCACTGATTATACAAAAACACACTGTAACACAAAAAAAAACCTGACTTTTGGTCCGATTACCACAAGCTTTGAGACCCAAAAGGATAATCTTGCCCAAAAAATTGAAGGGTCAAGACCAATCTATGATAATCCGGCCCAAAAAATTGAAGGGTCAAGACCAATCTATGATAATACGGCCCAAAAAGTTGAAGGGTCAAGACCAATCTATGATAACCCGGCCCAAAAACGTAAATTGAAGGGTATAGCTAGTTTGATAGGCCCAAAGGCCAGAAGGATGGCAAGCCCAACAGGAAAACCCAACAAAATATGCCCCGAGCTCTTTTTTCTGTACCCTTCTACCTTCTCATCAGAAACGAGAAATTTCTGATGAAAAATGGTGATTAATTCACTGAGAAGAACGCTGTTGAGAGCGTTGAGACCTCCACCGTCGTCGTCGTCAGTTCAAGCACGCCAAAGTTATATACTTTTATCTGTCTCTAACCACTCTCAGGAGACTTCGACGTCTGCCCCTTTCCCTCGCCCTAATTTCACATGCACCGGCGTTGTTTGTCGCCGTCTGTCTTATCTGAGCGAGATGGAGTCTCTTGGGCCCGCCTCCATTGATTACCGGTGAGTCTGATACTTGTCGGGGGTAATTTTTTATTTTTTTTTAATTGAATCTGAAACGAGAAGTTTTTTCATGTCGGTTAATTGGTGGGCATTTTATGTTTCGATGTGGAACGAGTTTTCTTTTTAACTTATTTAGTTTTCCTGCAAAATTTCTAAGTGGGAAAGTAGAAACCGTGTGTTGTGACTTGTGAGGTGTTAAAAATTGAATCTTTAAAATATTAGTGATGGTATACATGCATATTTGGGATTCTGAGTTCTGTTTGGTGGCCTATATGGACATTTGGTAAATTTGAAGCTTTGTTAGATTCAAAAGTGCTTTGCTTTCTGAGTTCTGTTTGGTGGCCTACATGGACATTTGGTAAATTTTAAGCTTTTGTTAGGTTCAAAAGTGCTTTGCTAGGGATAATTTATGTTTGGTGTAAGCTTATGCATATGTTGCTTGTGCACAGTTCTGTGTTGCAAGAAGATGAGTATCACAGGCTGGCTAATTCCACCATTCATGACTTGCTCGAGAAGCTTGAGGTAATTTTTGGAGTGATTGACTGGAAAATCTAGGGGTTTGGATAACACTAATGTGAATGTTGTCATGGCTGTTGCTACAATGGAAACAAAACAAATGATTATAATGATCGTCCTATTAATGTTATGTTGAAATCTCAAAAATTCATCATTTTTTATTTTTTATACTAGGTTGTGCTTTGTGTTGCCTTGCTGTGTTATTTTGAGTCCGGTGATTTATTTGAATTTGGAAACTCGCTCACAAAGAAAGTTGGCAATGCATGCACATTATGGTTTTGCTTCGCGAAATATTGATCTTGTTTATTATAATTGCTAGATGAGATGCATATATTATCTATTTACCTTGTTTTAGATGAATGATATTAAGATATGTTATGTGTTTGACTGGGGTTTTTAATACCTTATAGGATTATGGTGACACTGTGGAGATCGATGGGTTTGACGTAGACTATGGGGTGAGATAGATCAGTCGAAATTAAATACTTCTTTTCTTGCCAAGAATTATGTTACTGTCCGTTTCTTATAAAAGTCCTTTTTCAGAACGAAGTCTTAACCTTGAAGCTCGGTAGCTTGGGAACTTATGTAATAAACAAGCAAACACCAAATAGACAGATTTGGATGTCCTCTCCAGTGAGGTATCAGTTTGTCTTCCTTGATCATAATCTTATTCTTCCTCATTTTGTTACCTTTGCTAAAATTTTGAATGAAATAAATTGCTAGCTTGATGTCAGTGTCTGGATTTTTTTGCATTACTTTGCTTGTATTTTGTACTTTTTGGTTGAATTTGCATTTCAACTAGTCTTGAATAGCTTAGCCTTACCACTTGACTAAGACTTCTTACCGTTGTTCACCTATATTTAAAGTTTGGCGAAAAATATTTCATCTCTAATCTTCTTGATTTGTTCAGGTTCTGTTGGTTTCCTTTATTTATAACGTGCTTATATTTATCTATATTTAGCTGAAGACAGTATGAGGCAGATCTAAATTTTTCCACAGATTGACAATGCATAAATCATACTCGACTAGTTTTTGGCCTCCCAAAACTACTCTGAAAGGAAATAACAATAATAATTTGGCTTGAATATCTTGTGTTGTTAGGATATTGCTATGTGCCTCCCTCAAAAAAGTAATATTTACAATATGAAAGCTCATTATGAGTTACTTAAATGCCACATCCAATGAAAGGCCAAAGGAATGGTATAAAAGGAGAAGAAAAAGAAATGAACAATTGTGCTAAGAACTTAATGGTATGTTGCAACATGTTTGTCAGACAACACGATCAAGTGTAAATATTTCTCAAGAGTTTGATTCGTTAGATTGTAGAAAGTTTCTCGAGGCGCGAAATTCGTGTAGAGTGCCTTTTCGTCTCACAATAATTAACACATATTATGAAGATATGGCTAATATGCACCAACCAATTTATAGCCTTGGCTTGGTTATTATTTGTGTGGTTGAACTGAGTAAAAACAATAATAATAAATATCGATCTCAATACATCTCATTTCTTTTATATGTTTTTTGGCCCATATACAATCTCATTATGTTTTTGCGGTTTATTCTCTTTTTCGATCCTTGAAATATATACGTCTTTTGCAGTGGTCCGTCTAGGTTTGATTGGGATCAAGATGCTCGATCTTGGATTTACAGGCGAACAAAGCAAGACTTGTTCAAACTCTTGGAAAATGAGTTGCAAAAGCTGTGTGGGGAATTCATCAGCCTTTCTTAAAGCCCCCCCAAAACACGGGCCCGAGAGGATCGGTTTTTCAGCCCACGGGCTCTGCTAAAACAACTACAGATTTGTGTGTTAAATGTTATGGGATTTTTTTTGTAACCATTATGATATAGTGCAAATGTTTTGTTAAGATTTTTCAGAGTTGGTACCCTTGACCTTGGCATGGCTAATGGGAAGAACAAATTCATGATGTGACGTGTAAAAAGAAACGATGAAATAATACAATATTATTATTGTTATCATCACCCTTTTAGGTAAAAGTGAAGAGTTGTAAATGTTTCGAGCTGAACTTGAGCTAGGGCTCAAGCTCTTATCGAGCTGAGAAGATAAACGAGCTCAAGTGTTGCTCGTTGATAAACAAATTATGTCAAAACTTAAAAGGTTAAGTTTTTACATAAAGATTGATGTTTATCAATCAGTGACGAGCTCGAGTTATTGAGCGGCTTGTTTCGTTTAACAACTCAGTTCGTGAAAGCCTTTATGGAAAAACTTTCACATGAAAAATTGATTTTCCAACACAAGCATCTTGATTATTGGGGTTTT